AAACTACGAAAATATGCCTTTAAAAACAGGTTTTATTCTTATTCTGTTGCAATCTATTTTAATATTGCCTAACAATCATTTTCAGTTAAATGTAGAAAATAAAGAAAAAGGTTTCTGTTAATTTAAAATAGCAATTTTCTTGAATAAAGTTGTTTCTTTAGAGGCGAACAAACTTGAATGTTCTTATTGCAAAATTTCAAAAGAATTTGAATTTGAAAAATCCCTTAATTTATGTTGCATTCAATTAAAAAATATAAGTTGAAATGTAAATTATTCGTTGCCCAGATATGTCTCATAAATTTTATTTGTATTTCTTTTTAATGAATACTCGTTCGCAGAAAGATACTTTCCTAGCAATGGATTAATTTCATAAATATAATATTTAGTATGCACTTTCTCTAAGAGGTTTCGTTTATAGAGCACAAACTGTATCCACTAAATATAGTATCAGGAAATTCGTCTTTGAAAGTCGGTCTGTGCAGTGGGCGACCTCGGCCGCTTTGCATTTTGTGGGCGATATCATGTTGGATTAAAAAGTGCGAGGTCCTCGCTGCCGCTTCAGCTTCTATCCTCCACGTCCTTCATCCGGCTGCCCTGGAAATTAATTTCGTGCACATGTCCTGCAGCCTTTTCGCCGCAACTTTGTTTGGCGCACACACATATACACTTACACACACACACACACTCATACACACAAAGAACGCGGCAGCGTATCGTGTATCGGGTCACACGGTTTACCGGTCCATGGATGGATCCATGGGTCCACCGGTCCATCTCACCGAAAAACGTCCACATTTGTCCACCTGTCCACAGCCTCACGTGTTGACCGCAAATGTTAAAGCGGCGTGACTTTATTCGATTATATACGAAAGGTATGGCAGGGGTGGGGCTCTCCCCCCGGCTGGGTGCTTACGTAAAAACATTAGACCCGGATCCGTTTTAGCATAACACCATTGTTGCCCCGAAACGAAATTGAAACCCGCTCCCATTGACCGGGGCAATTGTTTTCCACCGGCCAGTAGTCACTGATCCACTGAGGAAATTTTACTCAGAGATAAATAATGTATAGACTAAATTGTTCATAAAAAAATTTGGTAAATAACTTTGTTATTTCTGTACGAAATGTTCATAATAGAGCAACAGTTATAACATGCATATATCAGCAAATAAAAAACTTTTTAATATAATTAATTTTTTAAATGATTTTTAAGATTAGACTCTCAGAATTTATTAGAATTTGACCAGTATATTTTTTTTATGAAACAAAACAATATAAGAATATAAATAGTGTGAACCGTAAAAAATTAAAATTTTATATAAATTGAACTATTCGAAGGATTCTGTAATTAATCAAATAGGGTTGCACTGGTGTTAAGGGAATTTTCACCTCAACCTTCGACGCAAATCAAAGAAATATGAAAAATTATTTTTAAAAATGTAGAAATTAAATACTTTCCGGATACTTACTACTGTTTCTATTAATATACTAAGCGTGCAGTTATAGATTTTGAAAAACTTCTCTAAAGTCACTTATTGTAAAACGATTTATTTCGCAGTGCGTGCATCCCCAAATAAAACTGAAATCGTCGTCGGGCGTTCGCAAAGTGCTGACAGATATCGAGTTGATGATTAAGTCCGGGACAAGTCCTGGAGATTAATTTGCTCTTTAGGCAATCCACTCCGCGCTTATCGCCGTTCACTCCCTTCAGGGGAAAAAGTCCCCGAGTTGTTTGACAACTCGTTGGCTTGCCGTCATACGAGCGCATAATCGTAAAAAGTCTGCAAAATGTCCATAAATGCCGATTAAATCTTTATTTTCCGCATTGGCGCACGCAGCAGTCGAATAACCCTTGATGAGGGTTGTCCTCGAGTATTCAGATATGCGGATATTCGGTTATTCGGATACTCAGATGCTCGCATACTTGGGTATTTTGGGTGTTTGGGTCCTTGGTTACGCATTTTCGAACGCCGCTGACTGTTGACAGACATGTGACAGGCGCGATCGTGCAACCTGATGATTTAATAACTCGCCCGGCGAACGGATTAGGATTTCCCCTCTCGGAGGACAATGACCGGAAGGATATCGCGATGAACGGCTGCTGCTGGCGAACAGTGTTGGGAAAGGGAACGGGTTTTAGGCGAGCTAAATTTACAGCCTTAAAAAAAATGGAACCCAGATCGACAGAAACCACTTAAAATTTTTTAAAATTTTACATTTATTTACCAGTTTCTAATTTTCTGCAAGGAAAATTCGATCTTAAAAGTTTAATATTCCAGTAATTTTATAACATGTAAAAAGGGTTTAGAAGTTTTTATCTAATATTGATATTTTTTAATTAATGATGTATAATACGCTTAATGCATATCTTAATTTGCTAGGAAACAGTATATGTACTGATCTCAATTTATTAGGTCTTTGTCTTTGGTTGAATTTCACTTAAACACTGAACACTTAATCTTTATTTTAAAAATTGCACTCAATAGCTCCTATAACTTGATTCCTTTTGGTTGTTAGACTTATTGTTTCTGCTTTTAGATCCTAGGCTTGCCAATAAATATGCCTAGCTATGGGTTGCAGCTACAACTGGCAGGATATTCATCATCACTGGTGGTGAGGGGGTTGCAAATTCGCAGATACAGATGCCTCTGCCTCAAAAACTAACCACCCAGGATAACGGTAACGGTAACGGTAACGGTGAGACATCGGTGGGCTCTCCTCTTTCGCTTGTTCCTGTTTTTGGTGCCGTTCTAGTTGTTGTTGTTATTGTTGTTGTTGTTGTTGGTGGTGTCACCGCAGCATATCCTTCGAGTGCGTGCCCGTGTGTGTGTCTGTGTGCAGCGTGTGTGTGATTGATGACAACTCGAATAAGCGATGATTGATGCTTATTTTACACTTTTCGCTACAACACACGGCGACACATGTTTGTTTGGGTGTTTGGCTGCGGTGACGTGGTATGGGTGTCCATGTCCGTGTGCCTTTGCATCAGTGTGTGTGTGTGTGTGGGTGATCCTGGAAGTTTGGGAAAACTGCAGCACTGGATGGCTAAACAGAACCGGTCGTAAAAATAGATTTAGTAGTAGTAGTTTGGTAGTTTAGAGAAAATTATTTTTTTAAGATTTATAATAGTGAAACGTTGTTATTCTCGGTTTTTGGCAAATTAACATGTTTATACATTAATTAATTATTTTTTAAAACATAACTTATTATTTTTTTTAAGACAAAACATTTTAAAACATTTAAAAACATTTCCTATACAAACACTTAAGTAAAACGTCCAACATTGATTTTTTTTTAGATAGATGTGTAATTAAACACTCTACCATATAATTTGTACATATAATTTAGTAAAATTGAAATATTTACCTAAGTTTTTTCATCACTGATTATTTGTTGATCTAAGTGCTTAAACTTTCTTATAATTTTTATATCAAAGCTCTAGTACAGTGTGGAGTAAAATATTTTTATAAGCTTCTCAAATTTCGTTTTTTTCCTTTTTTACAAGAACTATCTTTGATCCAAAAGTTCTATAATCTTGACCGCTATTGTGCGCCAGGGGATTATTACGAGCACACGTTTCGGCGTCTCCAGACGCCGACGAGCCGCAATCATCAATGTCACCATCTCTACATGCCACCAACCCAAGTCCTGAGTCCTGAATCCTGCATCCTGGAGCCCCCTCATCATCCCTTCGCCGGCGGTTGGGAATCGATGTCAGTGTATTAGTAATTGTTTGATTTCACCCGCCTCCTGAAACCCTATTCGTATGTGTGTGTGTGTGTGTGTGTGCGATGCTCCTTCTTGTGGTTTGCTTATTGGTGTTCGGCAATACATCATCGACTGGCTGACATTCAACCCACCACCACCTCCTCCTCATCCTTATCCTTATCCACATCCATATCCACGTCCATATCCCATCAGGATGTCTGGCCAGAATCTGGTCGAAAACGATGCCTTTTTGCATACTTACTTTCGTACAGCTGCGGTCTAAATAATAGTACAAATAACATTTTAACTTGAATGAGGAAAAAACGCCTAGCTCTTAATATAAGCAACTTGCTCTGTAATTGTTATAAATTAAAGTGTGTTTCACAACAGGAGTTTGCATTTTTTTGAGGATATCACTTTTTTTGGTATAAAAATATCCAGTGAGATCTTCACAATGCAAGTTAAAAAAGCGAACTCTTCAGATTTTTATGTTTGAGGCCCCTATTTCTTAAAGTTCTGTTGCCTTGGCCGCGACTGTTATCATCCGGGACCTTTAAGAAATGTAATTTAAAACGCCGCACAATGCCGAAGTCCTAATCCTGGCCACTTGGGCCAACATGTAATTGTTAATTAGAGCTGACAACGAACAGAGCCCATCGACCAGAGGGCTAGTCATAAATTGTGCGAAATGCATAATTCTCCGCTTACCAGGACAATTGATTAACTTTTGTTCGATGCGAATTGACAGGCAAACAGTGCAAACAGACACATTTCTCTCTCTCATCCTGGCGGCAAGTGTAGTTATTTTGCAATATTCAACTTGAATTTATGTTGCACTGCTCTACTGTTCAATGGAATTCACAACTATTGCTGGTTTCCGACACTGTAATTGGGGGTTTCGTATTTCATATAGCCTTCCAAATTGTGAAAATTTAAACAATGGTCTTGTAATTTATGGACAGGCACAAAACTGTTACAGCCTTTTGAGATCCCCTAATGGTGCATCAAAATTGAAAGGAAATCTACAAATATTGCGCTAAACTGTTCGTTAAGTAAAAAAACAGAAACGAGGAAATTTACAAATTATACAAAAATATGCTTCACCCCTTATTTATTTATTACAAGCAAAAAAAGCTAGTAGTTGTGTGTTCAAAAAAATGGATTTCACATTTAATTAAAATTTTCTCTGTCGCAGTTATCAAACTTCATTAATCACTTAAGAGCTAAAAACGGCAAGAACATCTAATAGAGAATATAAGGGTTTTTGGCACCGTAAATGCGCATTTGATCACTTTTTTTTTAAGACTTGTGACTTTCCTCCTGCTGCGAGTTTATAAAAAAAATATTTGGAGGGGCTGTACTCGGTCGAATCGACATAGTTCCAAATCCTTGGATTGCGGGCAATATCTATGGGGATTATAAAAAATAGTATTAGTAGGTTTTCATGATTTGTGGTGAGTAGCTTACCTTTCTGGTCTGTCGCCGAAATCGATTTCGATGTACTTGTGCTAGTTTGCCACTTGAGAGAAGTGATCGCTTTCGACGCTGCCAAACCTAAGAATTTAATGTTGGAAATGTTAAATATTATATATAATGCAAAATGTTTTTTGGTAATAAATATATGTATGGCAGAGAAACATACTTCTTTACCATTGAACAATTAATTTTCTTTTAAAGTGACATATGACTATTTTGTTAAATAAAATGAATACATTTTAAGTAAAATAGAACAAATGTATATAATTCCACCAGTAAGTTTTGAAGACCTTCGATGGCATTTAACTTAAGTAACAATTATTTCTAAGTGTTTTTGTGTATATAACTTTACTCAAGAGGTGTAACCTCACCTGCATATTTACATCGTATCGGATGCGCTGCTCCAATTCCGATTTCCTGGCCAACAGCTGGTGGCAGAGCCATCGAACTCCCCTCAGCAGATCCTCGGCCTCGTCCATGTGGCAGATGAGCAAAGGACAACCACATGACTTTGCCAGATCCTCCAATCCGAAGGCGTACTCCACGTCATACAACTGAAGTCCCTCGCGATGTCGAGAGGCGACCAAAAGCACAGGTTTGCCAGCCAACTGGGTTCCCTGCAGGCAATCGCTGAGCAAATCGAATGCGGCCTGTAGTCCATCCGGATCCGAAGCCAGATCGAAGCAATATATCAGAGCATGCGAGGAGGCATAATAGTGTTTCCACAGACGCTGCATCTCGGCATTTCCACCGACTTCTGTGAGTTGGAGCTTCAAGTGAGTTTCCTCCGCGGAAATCTCAAAGCAACGCACTCCATTCGTGGACTCCTGGTCGTTTAAATCCCGGGGTGTTCCACTCAAACGGTGGCCCAACTCCGTTTTGCCACTGCCCGATGGACCAAGGATCAACACCTGGAATTCCTCCATCGGCGACGTTGAAATCTGACAACAGCTGAAGGACTCGAAACAACAGCCGTCGCGCAGTTTGCCGCACAGCAAACCCATCTAACACGCGGCCATGTCGAACGGGCTCTCTTTTTGGGAATATTTTCACGCTTTTCACGCTTTTCACGCCGTTCACCTTTTCTGGTTTTCCAGGTTTTCACGTTCTGCGACTGCAGCTCCTTTCGATTCCGAGGGAAATCCTTGTTTATTTACCAGCCATCGGCGGACAGCTGACTGCGACAGGTTGTTGTCACGGGCAACCACGTTCGGTTCAATGTTTTGGCCAGTTTTCCGTGGAAAGTTGCCTAGACAACCGATACGACGAGGGATGGATTTAATCACCTACGGCGAACTCCACGTAAGGGGTTCCCACTTAAATCGTTCCGTCGGCGTAGCGTTCGAATTTTCCACGTAGCTTTCACAATGAATCACTTCTGATTCCACAAAGGAGACTTGTAGCTATTTAAGCTGGATTTCCACAACGTTTGCTAAGGGGAAGTGGAAATTGTTGTAATGTTGTTATTGTAAAATATATATGAACATTTTTAAGCTGTAAATAACAACATGTTATGAATGGTGGGGATTGTTAAATATAATATTTATTTTTTGTTGTGGGAATCGCTACTAGATAATTATATAATATTCATACATTAAACGTTAGATACGTTTACAAATATGTCAAGAATTAAGATAAATTTCTAGCTATGCAGAAAATTAGATATATTTAGAACGAATAATTAAATTTTAATTATTTTCTTCAAACAATTTGCCTATTTTCAAGGCCATCATTAAATTGATAAAATATAGAAATGCTATTTGAATTTAATATTTGATGAATGTTAAAGCTACTAATGTTAGACACAGGCAATATTATTTTAAAAGTTCTGCCAGTGTTTGAAGTTCGAATAAAAAGCTTGAAGTAAACACTTTCACATTTTGCCGATAGGTGGCGCCACTTGTCCCAAATATGATAGAGGACTTTTTCCAACCACTTTCTATGATTTTAAAAGTTTTAACTGGGGTTTCGTCTTTTCCCCACTTGGCTTGTGTTACGGGGAAATAATATTTCCCAATGAAAAGATACCCGTATTTCACCACCACCCAATCTATACCATCTTCTTGTTTTCAAGCATCAAATGTTTGTTTGTTCAATCCAGTCTTGGCAGTTATTGATTCGGTTTCATTTCCTGATTGCCACCGAACAGAACAAGTGGCCTTTTGCTTTGATAATGGTTAAATAGCCACTGCCCGCTGTTTGTGAATATATATATAAATATTTATATATATATATAAGCACACATAATGTATCTTTGATGAAGCTGCGGCGGCTGTGGCTTTGCGGTTTCAATGGGGCACAAATAGGGCACAGAAGACAGAAGGCAGATTTCACAATTCAGAACTCAGAATTCAGAAGTCGTGGGGCGGAATGGAGCCCTCGATAAACCCGCGCTAATCGCTCCTTGTGCAGCCGCGTGTGTGTCCTAAGTCCAGTACTGAATGGATTCGCCCCTTTTGTGCCGGCCCAGTGCATTATGTGCCACTGCCGCCTGTGATTTCGCCTGTGCCCCGAAACCGTTAAGCACATCTGCCTCTGCCTTTGCCAAGGCTCCCCTGTTCTTGGCCAACAAATTGAAAAGTAAGCAAGCTAAACGTTCGCCGAACTTTGGGGGAGAAAAGTCGTCTGTAGCCTTGAGGCAGTCACCAGCCAGCCAGCCAGCCAGCCAGGAATCTTTGCACAAAAGGATTGCAGCTCCTGCTCCTGTTTGCAAAATCAAACACACAGCAAAGATGCTTGTTCAATTATTTTTATTTCCCAAAAAACGCAATCTGAAAAAATAGTAATGCTCTGGAAATTTGTGATCTTTTTTTTTTGTGGTGATCTTGAATTTCACAAAAATATTTGTTTGGATTAATAAAAACGTAATTTAAATTTCGTAAAAATTAATAATAGAAGAAATTCTTTGGGTTCAAAGACACATTTTTTAGCATTATTAAATTTGTAGAGTTTTATGTGTAATAGAGTAGAGTTCCGATATAAGATAAGTAACGATTGAAAGTTTTTCTTAACAGCTAATATTCATTAAAATAAATCTAAAAATTCTCCCATTTATTTCATATGTTGGCTTCCTTTGAATCTCGACTTTTCCTTGGTTTCTTGGGGAAACACTTTAACAAAGACCCCCTAGGAGTATATTATTACATATATTTCTTCGTGTGCACTCCCAGCCTCATATGAATATCAAGTTTCTGGTCTTTTGGCCAAGCCAACGACTGACATTAGTTTTGCATGCCTTCGCCTTCGTCTGGGTCCATTTTAATATGCGCATTAATGCGGCACAAAGCGGTGCGAAAAGTGACAACACGGTAGCTTCGTCCTGCGTTTTGTCAGGCGAAGGTGGACGGTGGATGGATGGATAGATGGATGGGTGGATGGAAGGATTGGAGGACGAGGGTACAGGTGGCAGGACCACGGGGGCATATGCAAATACGCGGCTGCTGGAGCGGCAGTTGATTGCTTGCTGCATCCATGCACCCTAACAAATTTCATGCGAGAGGCGGTCGTAAATATATTTACTTTTATTACTGTTTCGTTATTTAAAAAATTCCATAAACATTTGCATACTTAATACCCCACAATTTTATTTGAAAATTCTTGACACTCCTTTGGCAAATTTTTTGCTCCCATTCGGATCATTGAAAACCAACAAATTAGCTTTTTAAAATGTTTTTATGTGAAACTAACAGAGCATTATTAGAATGATTTCAAATTTCAAATGAGAAAGTGCTTGTTATACTTAAATTAGTAATTGGAAACCTATGTAGGATTTGAAATGGAAAAAGTCGTTGTTATGTCTTTCATTATTACCAACAAGAAATGAGAGAACTTAGATGGGAAAAGTGTTTGTAACATTCGTATCCGATTCTGATGAAGCTGCCCTCGCATGTGTGGGTTTTTCCAAGCTTAAGTCAAATATTTGCAGGTGGCTGGCGCCGCAGGAGCTGCTGCTGTGTCATTTGGCTCCGGGTTGCATTCAAACCACGGCTAAATGAAGCGGCTCGCCGTAATCGCTCCTCGGCGAACGCCGGCCGCAAACTCAAGCTGCGATGGAAACGCAGGACTTGGCTTCATTCGATTATTTCTGCGCAGCGGCATCATTCCGTTCGCTTTCCGGTTGCCTTGGTCCTGCGTTCCAAGTTCTGTGTTCTCTGTTCTACGTTCTCTATTCTGGGTTCTGGGTTCTTCGTCCTGCGTCCTGTGTCCTTATCTCAATCCCCTTTGACTATTCCTATCGCCACATGGCGACGTCATATTTCCTTGTGCTTGGCGGACAACCGTTCGTTGTTTTTTTTTTTTTTTTTTGTTCTTTCTAGCAACGGCTCTTCCCCCAGATTTCCCACCAGCTCTTTGCCGGCGACTTTCCCGGCCGGCCGCACTTGTCGAGTCGTTCACCGTGGCAGAAGTTTAGCGAGCGGAGGAGCAGCTGCTTGCCTCGGATTTCATTTCCGGCATGTTGCGGTTACGTTAAGTAACGGAGATTGCATCGCTAATGATGCAATTGTGTTTGGCGGAAATGAAAGCGGTTTCGTGTGACGACTTGGCGCGCTTAGCCGGTTTGAACACCTTCTATCTTCTATCTTCTCCCGTGCTCAATAGAATTCCATTTTATCCACCCATGTCCCCTCATCTTACCCCTGTTGCCAATCCAAATCCAAAGCCAATGAAGCCGAAGGATAACCGAATGAAAAACTGTGTGCCCACTAATTGCATCTGCTTTCCTCCCTGGCTTATTCAAAACGAAAAGGAAGAAGCGCGAACGGAAGTGGTTGTCAAGCCAACACAAAATAAAATCAAATCCGAGAAAGAAAGGAGAAGAAAATCAGCCGCTCTCGGCGCTTCTCAAACAACCTGCCTTAATGAGCTCTCCATAATTGTTTAATTGGATAAGAAATAGAGTCACGGATGCTTGACACACTTCGCCAGTCTGTCTGCGCAAAAAAAAAAAATGGAAATGGAAATGGGAGCGGGAATGGGAAAGGGAATGGGAATGAGGAAATGGGTGGGTAAGTGGAAATGGGACTGAAAATGGGATGGAATCGACAAATCGGAGCAGCCACTGACCTACTGGCCTATTGATTTTCCCACTATTTTCTACAGTCTCCGGCAGGCAACATCTCTCGAACACTTTCCCCCCGATTCGGAATTGGATATTTTCTATCCAGGCTGAGGGAACCAAACCAAATAGACAGGCAGCATGAGGTGAGTTGCATTTGCTGTCTTGTATTTCCGTTCAGCTTCAGATTCAAGGATTATACATTTTAAAGTAGGGTCAGGGGACAATGCAGTCCAAGGGGAGCTGTGGAGTGCAACAATAGGTGAATGCATTTCCACAGGTGCTCTGGCAGACTTAATTATAACACACCTTGCAGTAGCTCAAGAAATACCCAGATGCCACGCTGTCCCCCGAGGAATTCTGATTTGGTTAGCACTCCCGAACATTTACGACCCGGATTCCGTGGTCGGCCACTTCAATGCGATCCCAGCGATTTTGGATTAACTGGAGATGAGGAATGGCGCCATCCAAGGACGTGTAAGCATATGAAATTTAACTAGATTTATATTAAAAAAAATTCGAGGTAGTTCGCCAAGTTAAAAGGGAGTTATAGAATAAAATTCAGAAAAGGTTATTTTAAAGTTTAGACTTATTTGTGGTAGCGAATATTATGTATACATTATAAACAATTTTCAATAACTTTTATTTAAATATTTTTGTATTTCTTTCATGCAATACATTTTCTATATTGCAACTATTAAGGAAGGTATTATTGAAAAATTTTGTAGCTATAACATTTTAAGCAAATGTTATTAGGTTATTTGTTTAACCTTCTTACATTTTGCAAGTACGAGTTTATTATAATGATTAGTTCATTTGTATTATTATGACATATGTATGCATTGAAAACTAATAGAACTTGAAAAATGCACCCTAAACTACGTAATTTGAATGTTTAGTGTTATAATGTTTGCCAAGTTAAGCCATCTCGATCCGCAGTCAAGACAGATCCTGCGGATTTGCCGGAGGAGTGCCTGATGGACGAGTCGGCACCTGACTTCGGTGAGATGTCCGATTTGCGAGGAGAGTGCATTGAAGATGAGTCCGCTACGGTTGTGAACGATGCCTTCGATACTCTGCAAAGGGAACGAGCCGTCCACACGGGAAAACTCTATCATGACATTCTGGATTGCTTCAGGAGACTTGGAGAAGGAATTAGTAGGTGAAATCAAAATAAATCAATAATTTTTAATAGCTTATATCTATGTGATACAGGCGGGTCAGGGCGTCGTCGCAACTTTCCGCTGCCAAACCAATCTGCCAACCTGATGGACGAGTCCATGCCATCGTACCGCGAAGTAACTCGGGACGCTCTGGAGAATGAGTCGATGCCCGCTTTTGAATCGTTTGGAGGTTCCTGTTTGGAGAATGAAACAATGCCATCGTATGCTAATTTTTTACCAAGCGAGTGTACAGAGAATGTTAGCCAACCCTCTTTCTTCGACAGGAGTAGATCGCGTAGACGAAGTCCCAGAAGGCAGCAACAAGTATCGATGCCTTCGCAGAACTTGTGCGACGTATCGGCACCTTCGTTTGCAAACTCAACCATGAATTCAACCACCAACGAATGCTTGGAGGACGTATCAATGCCCTCGTTTGAAGGGAATTCGCATACTTCAAGGAGCAGAAGTCGAAGTGCCAGTAAAGTCCAAAGATCCAGACACAAAAGGAATTTAAGCAACTCATCTGCTCCCGTTTTTGGCAGTACAAGGCGAGGTCAAACAACAAATGAATGCTTGGAGGACATTACCATGCCTTCGATGAAAACAATATCCATTATGTCACCGAACAGAAGTGGCCGCAGACCGCATAAATCGATGTCTACAGAATACTTCAGTGACAGTCACAAAAGGAAACCCCCGTCAAGTGAATGCTTAGAGGATATTAGTATGCCAACTTGCGGCGGATTATCGGAGTCTTCTAGGGGAAGAACTTCTAGAAGACAACCAAACACCAGCGAATGTCTGGATGATATGACGATGCCTTCCTTTGGAGGAGTTTCGGGGACCTCAAGGAGCAGAAGTCTAGATCGGCATCACAGATCTAAGACATCGACAAGGGTGAGCGAGTGCTTGGATGACATCACCATGCCATCGTTTGGTGGAATTTCAGGTTCTTCCAGAAGGCAAACAACTCGGCCAAATGTATCGTCGTCTGAAAGGAGCTATACCCGAAGAACAAGTCGCCGACAAAGGCCCAAGGCCTCGCAGAACATTGGCGATACATCAGCGCCTTCATTTGCGAACTCCACAAAGTATGGAGAAACAAGTGAGTGCTTGCAGGACATCTCGATGCCGTCTTTTGATGAAACGTCAGGAGCTTCCAGGAGTAAAAGTACCCGGCGACAGCAGATGACAATGCCTTCGCAGAACATCAATGATATATCAGCTCCGGTGTTTGCAAACTCCGGTAGAGGTAATGTGACCAATGAATGCCTGGAGGATATAACGATGCCATCGTTTCGAGGTGACTTGTCTGCCTCCAGAAGGGAACAAAGTTCATGTCACCCATCCTTAAGAGGTTATTCGACGTCCAAACAGGATTTGAATGGTATACCTATGTCCGCAATAGATGAAATATCCTTTTTTTCCGGAGTACAAAAGACTCTGCCAAGGGAATGCCTGAACGATGTGAGTGCCCCATCTTTTGGAGCAAGCACCTCGCGAGGAGCCAGTAGAAGTCACAGGACATTACCAACTCGGAATCTATCCAGAAGATCAGGTGCTTCTAGAATTAAAAATACCTCCCGGCAACCAAAGTCCTCATCAACGAGGATTCAGGAATGCTTAGAGGACGTGACCATGCCCTCGTATGAAGGAGTATCGGGCATTTCTAGAACGAGAAGTCAATTGCACAGGTCTATGCCTTCAATGACAAACGAATGCTTGGACAACGAAACAATGCCATCGTTTGGGGAAAGGACACCCAGAAGACAGCAAATCTCAATGCAGACGCAAAATATCAGCGGCATTTCAGCACCTTCGTTTGCTCCTTCAGGTCGACGATTTGATTCGAATGAATGCATAGAGGACATAAGCATGCCTTCGTATGCAGACAATACGAGGGCCTCTAGAAATGTTAACTCTACATCTATGCAAAGATCGAGAAGGGGATTGTTAACGAATGAATGTTTGGATGATGTGACCATGCCATCCTTTGCTGCATCCAGGCGAGGTCCTTTGACAAGCGAATGTCTTGAGGACATTTCAATGCCTTCGTATCGCGGAAATTCATTATCGTCTAGAGGAAATAGGTCCAAACAAATTAAAACATCTAGGCAAGCAACGATGACCAATGAATGCTTGGATGATATGACAATGCCATCTTTTGGCAATTCAAGTCATTTCCATAATACTAATGAGTGTCTTCAAGTCTCAAGAACGTCTAGAGGACAAAGTCCCAAGCAAGTGCACTTATCTCAAGAAGCGATCACCAATGAATGTTTGGATGATATGACCATGCCATCATTTGGTATTTCCAATCGTGGACATTCGACTAATGAATGTCTGGAGGACATTTCAATGCCTTCATACCGCGAAAATTCATTATCGTCTAGAAGGAATAGGTCCAACCAAATTAAATCTTCTAGGCAAGCAACGATGACCAATGAATGCTTGGATGATATGACCATGCCATCTTTTGGTGATTCAAGTCGTTTCGTTAATACTAATGAATGTCTTGAAAACTCGAGATCGTTTAGAGGCCAAAGCCCCAAGCAAGTGCACATACCCCAAGAAGCGATTACCAATGAACGTTTGGATGAAATGACCATGCCTTCCTTTGGTATGTCAAGTCGTCGAGCTACCAATAATGAATGTCTTGAGGACATTTCAATGCCTTCATATGGGGAAAGTTTAGGATTGTCTAGAGACAGAAAACGCAAGTCAATGTCTAGGCAAAACACTATGACAAATGAATGCTTGAATGATGTGACCATGCCATCGTTTGGAATTTCTAGTCGTGGAGATACAGTTAGTAAATGTCTTGAGGACATTTCAATGCCTTCCTGCGGTGAACATACATTATCTTCAAGAGGAAGAAGCTTAAAACGAATGAACACTTCTAGGCAAGCAACGATGACCAATGAATGCTTGGATGATATAACTATGCCATCTTTTGGTACTTCAAGTCGTTTCCTTGATACTAATGAATGTCTTGAGAACTCGAGAACTTCTCGAAGTCAAAGCCCCAAGCAAGTATATATTTCCCAAGGAGCGATGACCAATGAATGTTTGGATGATATGACCATGCCATCATTTAGTATTTCCAATCGTGGACCTTCGACAAATGAATGTCTGGAGGACATTTCAATGCCTTCTTGTCGCGAAAATTCGTTATCGTCTAGAGGAAATAGGTCCAACCAAATTAAATCTTCTAGGCAAGCAACGATGACCAATGAATGCTTGGATGATATGACTATGCCCTCTTTTGGTGATTCAAGTCGTTTCGCTAATACTAATGAATGTCTTGAGAAGTCGAGAACTTCTCGAAGTCAAAGCCCCAAGCAAGTATATATTTCCCAAGGAGCGATGACCAACGAATGCTTGGATGATATGACCATGCCATCATTTGGTATTTCCAATCGTGGACATTCGACTAATGAATGTCTTGAGGACATTTCAATGCCTTCTTGTCGCGAAAATTCGTTATCGTCTAGAGGAAATAGGTCCAACCAAATTAAATCTTTTAGGCAAGCAACGATGACCAATGAATGCTTGGATGATATGACCATGCCATCTTTTGGTGATTCAAGTCGTTTCGCTAATACTAATGAATGTCTTGAGAAGTCGAGAACTTCTCGAAGTCAAAGCCCCAAGCAAGTATATATTTCCCAAGAAGCGATGACCAACGAATGCTTGGATGATATGACCATGCCATCATTTGGTTTTTCCAATCGTGGACATTCGAATAATGAATGTCTAGAGGACATTTCAATGCCTTCTTATCGCGATAATTCATTATCGTCTAGAGGAAATAGGTCCAACCAAATGAAATCTTCTAGGCAAGCAACCATGACCAATGAATGCTTGGATGATATGACTATGCCCTCTTTTGGTGATTCAAGTCGTTTCGTTAATACTAATGAATGTCTTGAAAACTCGAGATCGTTTAGAGGCCAAAACCCCAAGCAAGTGCATATATCCCAAGGAGCGATGACCACCGAATGCTTGGATGATATGACCATGCCATCTTTTGGTGTTTCCAGTCGTCGAGCGAGTACAAATGAATGTCTTGAGAACATTTCTATGCCTTCCTATGGCGGCAATTCACGATTGTCCAGAGGGGAAAGTCATATTTCGACGCGAAGTTCGAGGCGAGGGATGATGACCAATGAATGCTTGGATGATATGACCATGCCATCTTTTGGTGATTCAAGTCGTTTCGCTAATACTAATGAATGTCTTGAGAAGTCGAGAACTTCTCGAAGTCAAAGCCCCAAGCAAGTATATATTTCTCAAGGAGCGATGACCAACGAATGCTTGGATGATATGACCATGCCATCATTTGGTTTTTCCAATCGTGGACATTCGAATAATGAATGTCTGGAGGACATTTCAATGCCTTCTTATCGCGATAATTCATTATCGTCTAGAGGAAATAGGTCCAACCAAATGAAATCTTCTAGGCAAGCAACCATGACCAATGAATGCTTAGATGATATGACTATGCCATCTTTTGGTGATTCAAGTCGTTTCGCTAATTCTAATGAATGTCTTGAGAAGTCGAGAACTTCTCGAAGTCAAAGCCCCAAGCAAGTATATATTTCCCAAGGAGCGATGACCAACGAATGCTTGGATGATATGACCATGCCATCATTTGGTATTTCCAATCGTGGACATTCGACTAACGAATGTCTTGAGGATATTTCAATGCCTTCATGTGGCGGAAATACATTGTCATCTAGAGGAAGAAGGAGCCTTAATCGAACCCAATTTTCTAGGCAAGGAGTTATGACTAATGAATGCTTGGATGATATGACCATGCCATCGTTTGGGTCTTCAAGACGCGAAGCTACCGCGAATGAGTGTCTCGAGGATATTTCAATGCCTTCCTATGGCGGCATTTCGCGAGTGTCGAGAGGAGGAAGTCGTATTTCAAACCGAAGCTCAAGACGAGTGTCGATGACAAATGAGTGCTTGGACGATATGACAATGCCATCTTTCGGAAATTCAAGTCGTTTCGGTAACACCAATGAATGTCTTGAGAAATCGAGATCTTATAGAGGTCAAAGCCCTAAGCAGGTGCATATATCCCAAAGAGTAATGACCAACGAATGCTTGGACGATATGACAATGCCATCTTTCGGAAATTCTAGTCGTTTCGCTAATACTAATAAATGTCTTGAGAACTCGAGATCTTCTAGAGGTCAAAGTCCAACGATGACCAACGAATGCTTGGATGATATGACCATGCCATCTTTTGGTGATTCAAGTCGTTTCGCTAATACTAATGAATGTCTCGAAAACTCGAGATCGTTTAGAGACCAGAGCCCCAAGCAAGTTCACCTAGCTCATGGAGCGATGACCGACGAATGCCTGGATGATATGACCATGCCTTCAATTAATAACTCTAGTCGCGGATTTGGTACTAACGAACGTCTTGACGACATCTCAATGCCCTCATTTCAACGAAATACAGCTTCTTTCAGGGAAAGGAGCCCCGTGCTAAGGCAAAGGTCTAGACAAGAACCGAGTACCAACGAATTTTTGGATGATATGACCATGCCATCATATGAGATGGTTTTTGGTTCGCCCAGTAGGGAAAATAACATGAAAAGTGAATGCCTGAACGAAGTGAGTGCACCGACATTCGCAGGAAATTTTTCTGAAGCAACCAATCATAGTTTAGGAGCATCACGAGCCAAAAGCCCCAGGCAGCCGCAAATGTCGCTAACGAATGAGTGCCTGGAGGACATGACAATGCCAACATTTGGCGGCATCTCGGGGTCATCGCGACTTGGCCAAAGTGCCATGCCCCCCGGACTATCGCATCGAACCCAATTCAGCGAGTGTGTGGCTTCTGAGAAAACCAACGAATGCCTCGAGGACGTGAGTGCTCCTAGTTTTGCCCCGAGCAGTCATATGGCCTCGAGTAGCATGCCCCAGTTGACGAACGAGTGCTTGGAGGATGTTTCAATGCCACCGAATGATTCTTTATCTAGAAACGATACCGAGTCGATAGCGCGACGTCCGCCCGACATTTCCTATCCATCCGAGATGTTGGCCAACGAAAGTGCTCCCTCGTACAATTCACGTCAGTTGGAAGCGGATAATTGTGAGTGCGCAACTCCGCAACAGAACTCCAAAAGTCGTCCCTGGGAAAACGATAGTAGTGCCGATGGTTTGGAGGCCATGACAAGGCCCACCTGCGAGGATGTGTCGTATCAACCGCGACGCCATCAGCTGACCATGCCCTGCGAAAAGTTGGAGGACATCACCGAGCCCTCGGGATTGCTGGATGAATGTGAGACGGGCGGCTTTAACTCCACGGACTTGCCGAGCTCTACAAGATCGGAGAAATACCAAGGAAGAGCCGCTTCACAGCAGAAACGAGATGCCAATCATAACAACACCAACAAACAACTGGCCGATGACTGTGCTCCGTCCATACTGAAAGACCCTACAAAAGCATCAAAAAGACCAAAGACCCTAAAAAGGGTTTAAGGAAATAGCAGTGGTGGAAATATCAGAGATACTAGGCATAATTATCAGTAGTTATTACTACGGAAAATCTCGTTTCTTTAGCCGCAAGCCATGATAGATTTAAACACCATCAACTAGGATAAATATGCAAATTGGATTTTTCAGCCTGGTGGGACATTTTTATATTTTTGTATGGGGGAAAGAAATCATTAAAAACAAATTAGTACAAAAAATATTTGTTATTCGTATATATTTATTTAATGTAGCTAAACACTGTGGGTTCTAATCCTTTATTTAATTCAGGTCTCAGTTTAATTGGTGTATTGCCACTTAGCATTCGGCTTTAAGTAAAATTAAAACCTGTTCAAGAAGTGTATACCAACAAATATCAATAAGAAACAAAGAAAAATGAATTATGAGGCCAAACTTCCAAAAACGTGTTCAATAATTTACACCATATTGAAACAATTTCCGCGACAAAACAATGGTGCATATATTTCTACAAAATTGGTAACAAATAGATTCAGGAATCGGGGAGGAAGCTTCCAGCGGAAGCGCGTTCATTGCTGGCTTTTGTCAGCCTTTGGCCTTCTGTTGTTTCTCCCATGCTCATTTCCTTTGTTGCCGTTGCCGTTGCCGGTGCGAAACGAGAGGAGCGCGGGTCACAGGGTAAATAAGGGGTATCTGTATCTGAAGCAGACACCCGACGAGCTTGTCGAGCGGTGCTAGCTATTTAAAAACAATTTATTTTTAGCAAGCAAAGCGCCACCAGCAAGACAACCTGTCGACCCGCTGCATACCCACCCATAAAATACGTACAGAGAAAGAAAGGATTAAATAAATGGTTTGCTCTTCCTCGAGTTTCTCAGGTCTGTTAAGTTAAGCATTTATCAGCCTTTAATAGAATGAATGCAGTTTGTTTAAAACATACAATGTTAAAATGCAGCGAATTTGTGACCTCTGTATGAGTGTAGATGAACTTTCAATAAATAGCGCTAAATTTTAACGGCAGGTACTCTTTCTGACCAGTCTAATTAGTTTCAGTGAAGCTTTGGATATTTCCCTCATTGCCCCATGAGGGACTACTTTAATAGTTAATGAACTACTTTAGTTTTGATCTCCAAGACTTAAGACTTATTAGGTTCATAATACATTTTCGATTTAAAAATGTTTAATATAATATATTGGAGACATCAACTATAGTTATTGAAAAAGATACTTTGTTTCAGTGCACCTAGATGTAGTGGCCCGCCAGGTGCCATGCGTCCTTTAATTATTAATGGTAAATAGATTTTCCGATAAGTCTCTTCAGCTCCAGTTCAGCTTTGTTTATTTCCCTGCAGCTTAGAGAATTTAAGGCAGTGCTTTATTTTTTTGGCGCCCAACGGGGAGCCTAAAGCAAGTAAGGAAAGCAATTATCTCTTTAGCAGATCGATTATAAAGGCTTAAGATATCTGAATGTTATTGAATTTAAATTTAAATGCTTTCCACCATAAATGTAATTTGCAATTTAAGCTACCTTATATAAACGATTAACTCGATTGCTTTGAGAATTAGTATGTCAAATTGTTGATTGATTTGATTGCTTAATTTTTGTTAATTTAAGACTGAGTCGCAGTTTTTTTTGTGACGATTCTTGTGTTTCAAGCGATATTTTCCACAGTGCATAGTTACCCGCCAGGTGCGATGCTCCCCTTTGGCTCGTCGGTGCTCTCCATTCCGCTCTTGTGACTGCGACGTTGATTTCGGTTTGAAAAATCGAGCGTTGCCCGACAAATGTCGGCGAGGTCGGTTAGGAAGGTGCCAGAGGTATGCAAAACAAGAACTGCAGATGCTTCAGATTGGTTTTCCAATTACTCAACATTTCAATGCAAATAGCGGCGGGGCAACCGGGGGCAAAAGGGTGGTGGTGCCAAACGGTGTGTAGGTGGTGTGGTGTGGTGGTGTGGGGGGGATCGGTGGTGGTTTATAGTCAGTAGAAAGATGGCGACGTAACGGTTAACGCCGCAGTGGGTAACCCGTTGAAGAATTGAATTGGCAACACACACACACACACATAAACACACACCGGCTCACACATACACACAAACAGAAATCCCCATCCACATCCGCATTTGTGTGTGTGGAGCGGTTGAGATTGCGGCTGAGATGCGAGATTTGGGGGCGGTGACCCGGCTCACAGCTGGGGCTAAATATATCTTTCGATTTCTTGTCAGAGATAAAATTTCAATCACGTTTACTTCACTTTCACTTGGCCGTTCCCGCCCACTGACCCACTCAATCAGACCCAATTCAGGTTGGCTGCTTTGGCCAGCATTGAAAAATCGGGAAATCCTTCGTTATGTTTTCGTTTGCTGTGAATGCGGGTCAGGTGCTTCCAAACTAACGTTATGCCATTTGAATACAACTCGCACAGATTTCTTTAAATAACATGTTGATCTTGTTACTTGTTACTAAAGTTATACCGGATTGATTTAGTAAAATATTTAAATTCAATTTACCTTAATTTTGCGTTAAAATACAAATATTTAGTTGGCATTGATAACATACGCGAAATATTATTAGCTGTTCTTTAACTCAAATGAATTTATGTATAAAACGAAATACTAACAAGTTAGGTAATTAGCAAAAGTTTCAAAAAATATACATTTAAAAACAATTCAATGGTTACCTGTTGGTTCCGGGCACAAAAAACTTTTAATTGCGAGGCCACTTTTATCACATTTCACAGCACTAGTAATATCCTGTGCTGACTGACTTTTCAAACAATGCAACCATTTGTCAACACTGAAGTGGGCGCGAAAAGCTGGGGTGGCGGATCTACATCTTGATTTTCATTTTCATTTTCATTTCCATTTTCCATCATCATCGGAGTGTGGTGGCAAAAGGGGAAGAGAGAGGAGGGGGAAGGGGGCAAGAGTGAGAGGGAAAGCCTCACACGTAGCAGCCACTTAAAAGTTGAAATTACAATTTACAGTTTTAGCCCCCGAAGACTCGTTTACCCACACAAACACTCACACACCCACACCCACACACATAAAACGCGCACACATATTTGGTTTATTTCTTTTTTTTCCACCCATTTTTAGTTACCATTCAAGTGGCAGTTAAAATGGCTTCAGCCTCAATTGCTGGCATCCTGGTGGCGTTTCGCCGGTTGCATCCACCATTTTACCATTTTACCATTTTAGCAGTTCGCCATCGCCATTGCCATCAGGACCAGCATCCAACATCCAACGGCCAACATTCTACATATAACATCCAACATCCAACAGCCAGCGACCCGCTGCATTAGGAAAGTTGACGCTGTTGATGCTGTGAGCGATTTATTGTTTTTGTGTAGAAAGCGTAAAATGGAACAAATTTCCCCCATTCCCCCTTTTCTTGAGGCCCACACTCACACACACCAACCAACGCAGACACACTCACATACACACACACACGCACACTAGAGATGCCGGCGACCCATTTCAAAAACAGGACAAATCAAATCGAACCGTACAAGTCGGCCGACAAAAGAACAACAAAGACAACCGGATTTGGATGAAAATTCTGATGTTTAATCAGATTTCCCAGAAAAGGTAATTAATTTGTATTCCGATTAAAAAGCAATTTAAATAAGAAGCTTTAAAGTGAGCAGAAATGCATTGGGCATTTGGCATTTGTCGACTTTCTAGTAGATAATAAAAATTAGTTTTGTTTTCTTTTCCTGATTTCATTTTGTGCCAGTTTGAATTATGCATTTGTTTGTTCCATATAAATATTTGGTTTGAGTAATTATGTGAAATTTGTATTACTTTAAAAAAAAAGGATTTAATGAATTCAAGAAAAAATCTCAATTACAATTTAAAGAACTTTTTTTTTTCTATGAGAATTATATTTTTACTTTCTTGTTCCCTAAAATTTTGTCAGGTTAGTTATTAGTACTTTATTATTTAAGAGCGCTTTAAAGAAATTCTAAGCCGTCATCACTTACCCGCATACACACATACACACGCACACACACACGCACAGAAACCAAGTGGCTGCGTGTGAGTGCGGTTGCATACTTTTAGGCTGCAACTGCAACTGCTGCTCCTGGTTTTTCGTCCTCCCAACCCCCATGCCCCATCCCCCATCCCCCTTCCCCTCCCTAACTAGCCTAGCAGCCAACCCCTTTCGCCCACGCCCCTCATGCCCATTCGAGGCTAGGCAGTTAATTGTAATTCTGCAAAAATGCTGTCAAAGTTATGCGAGTGCGAAAATGTCCACGGGCAAGGGGCAGATGGTGGTTTTGCTTTCCGAAGTGGGAGGCTGTTGGGGCGAAAATAGCAGTGGGAGAAAGGAGGGGGGGGGGAAGGGGTAGGAGCGTTGGTGAAAGCTAGGGGGACAACAGCAGTCGACCAAACCCGCATTCGAGTGGATCGCAGTTTGTTTCAAAATTGCATTTTAAAGCCAGTCGGCTCAGCATTTAAAGCCAGCGGCATCGATTGGCCATCGGCTGCAATTCCGGAAGTGGCCTAAATCTGAACCAGCTGCGTTCGTTAATCGTTCACGGTTTGTCAGCTCGTATTTTAAAACTTTTCGGTATGGCAAAAAGTTATTTTTATTGTTTTATTTTATTATGTGCAGCAGTGTTCAATATAAAGCCATAAATCTTTCTTTCAAAACGTGTCAACGATTTTGAAAAGCTGTCGAAAATCTATATAAGATATTTGTGGCTTATAAATGTTTTAAAACTTTGTTTTAAAAACTGGTGTTTAAGTACTGAATATAAATGTTCTTACTTAACTTTTTATCTCTTCAAATTCGGTAATTAAATAATCTTTTTATAAATCAATACCCCCTTCACTTTCTTCACTCTGGCGCGTTTTCTGTGATTTACCCGCCCTCTAAATGCTGTTTTGTTATAAACTTTTATATTTACATCTCCAGAGGTTTTAATTAATTTCGTTCTTTGGCGGTTACCTCTTTTATTACCCTCTTCGTAAGCTTTGAAATAAACCAGTTAGTGGTTGATTTTATAGCATTTGCTTTGCTTGGAATTTTGTTGGTGAACTTTCACGCATTCTATTCTTAATGAAATCCACAGCAGCTGTGAATAACTTTGTTTACATTGCCGAACTTGGTATATTTGATATACAGCGCCACTAGAAAAGTTATGCTTTTCAAAAGGAAACTGTATAACAACTTCTATCTATCTTCTATATTTGTTGGTAATTCACGTAATTAAATGGTGTAAAACTTC